ACCTTCCTCCTCGTAGACAAGCGCAAGAATGCTGTGAACAAACTGCAGCCACGACCCCCCACGTGAAGAAAACCATGCGCTCTGAAAACACGTCACCAGCTGTTCTGCGTCCATGGTCTGAAAGAGACGGACGCGCAACGCTGGATTTCCTTGCACAAGCATGGTAATTGTGTGCAGAATAGACGACAGACCGTGTGATGCTCGCACCCCATGCCACGGCAGGACTACTCGATGCAGAAGACAAAGAAACGGGTCTGGGGCGTCAGTGACACTACCACACAGGACACTTTGTAGTTGCCGCACCGAGCCCCAACATGGCAGGTCTGCAGCGAGAGCACGAATGGACGCACGAATACAGTATAATATGGAAAGCAAAAGTGAATCCTCATCATCTGCTTCAATGAGTGTGGCGATAAGGGGTTCCCCTTGCTGTATTTTCATACATTGACTAACAAACTCCCAGGTGCATTTTACCAGCGGCGTCATCCTCTGTGAATACTCGGCCTCAACGCAGCGATGGGAAAGAAGTGACACCACCATCTGCTCCACATTTTTTCGGATTCCTCTTACGCTAAGAAGCGAGAATGCAACGTCGGCTTGATCTACGAGCACACTCCGCTGCACCTCGGGCTGACGTAATAGCTGCGTAAGAAGATATGTCACCCATTCACCAACAATAACGCCGCCACTACTGCCACCACCCTCTTTTTCTTGTTTACGGCTATCTGAGATACTAGACCTAGTAATAATCGCGGCAAACATCGCTATCCCGTTTCGCTGCATGAGGGAGTTCAAAACATGTGTCGCATTGGGACCGCAGACGGCGGAGAGCAAAATCGCGCACATGACTGCGGATTTTTCCGGCAACTCATGGGAATGTTCCTCCGCCTCATTGCTAAGAAATGCATCCAGAATGATACCCACCTCGTCCTCCACGTGGTCCTCCAATGAAAGCAAGGGGTATATAAGCATGTAGTGTAACAGATAAACTGCCGCGTAGCACAGGCGTGGATCATGTCGAAATGACTTGAAGGTTGGCTCATAAAACAAAATGCGGTACAATCCAGCGTTAATCAAAGGTCTTATGAGAGTAACATGCCGCTTCTCTGGCTTTCCCATTTCGTGCAAGGGGAGGGAGGCAATGGTGTACTTCATCAGTGTCTCGTACATGCAGGATGCAGGGGAGAGAGAAGTGGGGCTATCCAGAAACGCCTTTATAAGTGTCAGCTCAATTTCCGCAAAAACCCGAAGAATTGCCGGATCCCGTCGCACTTCCATCTTCGACTTCACAAAGCGCTGTGTCTCTAGCAAGCCAATATAGCAATGCAAAAACTCGTCCACGGTATTATCCTCCGCAAGCCTGTCAAAGCGTGGGCGGGATAGGTGAATGACCTTTTCAGAAAGCTTCCGCACGCGAAATGCCTCCAGATTCGCGACGGAGAGCAGTTCCTTGAGAGCATCCTCTCGTGCACTCGCGTAGCTTTCGTCCATGCGTGCACACTCGTACTGTTGCCCCAATATCTGTAACGTGCCGACCAAATTGTCGAAAAAATACACCGAACTCATCGCCTGAACAGTCACCAGAGGAGACTCCCGCATAAATTTCGAGACAAGCAACAGACCAAAAGATAGTTCTCGCAGCAACAAAAGCGACTTTCCCGGCTCCTCTGCTACAAGAAATCGGGCAAGCTGAACGCCAATACCGGAGAGTGTGATGTGAATGATCAATTCACTGGGCTCCTGATATAAATTGGATATGAGAAGAACCAGAGAGCAGATAGCCTCCGCAACCAGTTCTCCCTCTTCCTCCTCTTCTTCGTCTTCCTCATCCGCCGGTACGTGTAAGTCCAATGCACCCTTTGAGAAGTACAAGAAAAGATGTCCACACTCTGTTAACATGCCATCAATTGTTGCAAGAGAATCTCCAGAACCCCAGCCCCCAAATGTCACCCCCGTGGTGGAGGGAGAAATCAACCGTGGCGCTGCCGATGAGGTCAAGAAGTTGCTGTCTGTTCGATAACGGGTCACTCCCTTCTCTAACAGAATGTGCGAGATCCCCGTGACACTGACCGCAGTGGCCGTAGGGCTCACATGGATGGCCAATAACAGTCGCAATGTTTCACAAAGAATACGTACCAGCACGCATCGCCGTGCAAGAGAGGGTTGCGACGTGGTATTTAACGAGAAATTTGTCTCAGTCTCAAAAGAATTTTCTTCCTGTTCCTTTGTTTGAGTGGCTGTAATATTCATCGGCGCCTTCGTCCCAGAGAGAGTTCTATTGATCAACTTCGCGCGAACAAACTGAAGCACCAGCAACAAGTGATTATCAATTCCCAGCGCCAACATCGTTGTCCCAAACCTTGACGCATCTGTCATAAGTAATGCATGCAGGGTGGGTAGAGAGTCCTGCAAAAAGCCAGTAATTTCTGTCTCATCGGAGCCTGTGAAACAAGACTCCAGACGTCGCAGCAGTAGTGCCACCAGCCGTGATGGTAAAGCTGGTTGAAAAGACTCCGTCCGAAGAAGATGCAACACAGACCTTTCAAGGCCGGAGTCTGGGGAATGGGGATGATGCACGTGGTTTGACACCTCGCATTGACTCTCAAGCTTTTCCAATTCCACGCGAATCCCTTCACATGAAGGCAAAGTGAGAAATTTCGTAAATTCCGCCAATAACTCTTCCTCTTCTTCCTCCTCCTGCCCGCGTAATCCCGCATTGACATTTGCAGAGCCGCCACTCAACTTTCTAATGACCGAAAAGAATTTGAACATCGATTCCCAAAGCACTCTCACGTCGGACCGGGCACTGTTCTTCCCACACAGAACCCTTTTTTTTTCTTTTTTAGCACCTCCCCCTCTCTCTCTCCTTCCTGCCTTCGCCCTGTGATTATCTGGTTTATTCACTGAATTCCCTGAGAGGGGTTCTGCGCTACGGTTTCCTAAAAAGGTGGCAACAACGGCATACACTTCTGTAAGAGTAGAGTTGAGAGAAAAAAAACAAGTGGAATTCTAGCTGCCTCCTCATTTCAGGATCAATAAAGAGACATATATTTGTCTTCTCCACACACATACGCACAAACACACCATGTCATGGGCACTGCCTCCACCACGTCACACTAGACCAGATCCAAATCTCCTCGCAGGGAAGGAATTGTTTTTTTCCGGCATGGTTGTTTGCCGTTCTGTCTCCTGTTGCAACAATTCAGCTGTCCCTCCGTCTTCTACCTGCCCAGGTGCAAAGGAATTGCCGGCCGTTGGCACTGAAGCAGGCGCACTTACCACCGTTTTCGTCCCTCCCTCAGTCCTCTGTTCGGGCTGCTCCTGCTGTTGTTGTTGTTGTTGTTGTTGTTGTATGGAGTCCGTTTCACGCAGAAGCTCGTCAATTCTTGCCCTGACGGGGCGCAAAAGAACTTCCCGCGTTGTCGCATTCGGGATAAACAAACGTAGCAATTCCTTCTGGGTCGTCCAGTTTTGCTCCAATGCGCTGACAGCGTCGCGAATCTCATCCGGTTTTTTCCGCGCAACCCCAGAGAGTGGCGCAGAGACCCCTGAGAAGAGCATTTGCACCAGACGCTCACAGCAAACTTTTATTTCAGTCTCTACATCCTTCTTGGACTCTCGCGACGACTGCACAATTTCAACCCGTCGCTGGGCAATTTTACTGAGATCAATACGTTTCTCCACAACAGTAATGTTCTCGTCGATGCGCGAGAGTTCCTCACGAAGGTGAATGAGATGGCACAGTTGACACATGAGACCCTTGATGGCAGTGTTTTCTCCTCGCTGTTGACTCATAAGCCTCGCCAACTCCTGCATCTGCGTTAGCGCACAGTGAATAGCCTCCTCGGCAAACACCGAGAAGACCGAAAACTCCAAGGAAGGGTAAAGAATCCGCAGGAGTGCTACGCAGTTACTAAGAGCTGGGATGTAAGAATCATCGGACTTGACTCCATCGCTTTGAAATTCCCGCAACATCGCTTTTGTGGGACCACCACGCATGATCGACTGACGCAAAAACACACTCGTGCGAAATATCAAACGCTCTTGTGTGTCTTGAATTAATTTTGTAAGTAGTTCACTGAGCTCTGCAACATTATCCTGCCTTGTGTTCTCCCACTGGATCTCCTCTATTGTCCGCGCCAACTCCTCCAGTTCATCCACCTGCAGTAGCTGGGAGCGAAACACATGATAGACCTCATTAGAAAGACCGGCAACAAGCTGCTGAAAAACACGTGCGCTAAAGTCTTCTCTCAGCCATATTTCATCAAAAACCTCCTTTTCACCCGCCAAGGCTATTTTCATAAGGGAATTGAGATGATTCACAAGTTTCGGCATTGGTTTTGCCGTCACATCAACGCTGCACCAAGCCTCCAACCAGTTTTGTAAAAGAGGTCCCACAACCAGCACACGCGATTCACGGTATGCGTCAAAGATCTCGTTGTCGTTCACTTCATCCTTCGACTCCCCGTCCCCGCCTATTGCCTCCAACATTCGTCGAAGAGATGCCTTTTCACTGAGTTTCTCGCAAAAAATTGCATTGATGCGTCTAAGAGCGTCCGCGACGGCTCTCTGGGCATCTGAGCTTCCGTCCACGCCAGGGAGCGGCAATATCGTGGTGGTTTTAAGTGCAGGATCCTCTGTGTTTGCGGCGTCGTTGGAAGTCCCCCGCTGTCGCCGATAAAACGCATCTCGGTATACATCGGAACCCACAGTTACGCTCTGTGCGGATCGCACGGATTCCACAATGGCATCTTTTAGACACTGAAAGGCACGTTGCTGCGACAGAGCCAATCGTGTCGCGTACACCTTGGAGGACAAAAAATTCGGGTTCCGGGACAGAAACTGCATCTCCTCCTCCATCTCCTGCAACATGCTCGGGTAGCGTGTGGAGTTGGCAGAAAGCACGGGATTTTCGGCTTCCCGTGTCAAGACCTCAATTCGGGTGAAGTGTTTAATCATCCGTTCAAGCTCCTCCTGGACCATCTCCAGTTTTGTCTTCCGCACCATGAGCGCGGATGCGTTGCTGCTCAATAGATTGCTTTGCTCCTGCACAGCAGCGGTGACGTCACACATAGAGTCCAGGCAGCTTGACAGGTCGTTGAAGACACTCAGGCACTGTTCCCCCATGCGACGCCCCTCCGCGGCACGCTCCAGCCACCGCTGCAGGCCCTCAACGCGGGACTCGCTTTCAGCCTTTGCAATGTCCCGCAACATCTCTTCCATGGCTTGCGCCTCCTGCTCCTTCTGCGGGTCACGCAACTCAACTGCGGGAGAGAGGGAAGAAGCGCGGTTTATCGAGCTGCCAAACCGCACGGTGGTATCCAAAAGAGATCCGCCAAACTCCAGCATGCGGTCACTAAAAGGAATGGCATGCTGGAAGATCTTCGGCATCTGAGCCAACGCAACGTCAAGGCGGTGAGAAAACTCGGCATCTGACAGCATGACCACGGAAGGGAAAGACCCAACAATCTCGCTTACTTGCAAACACGCACACACACAAAAAAGGATGTAAATAGAGAAAGAGAGAGAGAAAGCAATACAAACGCATAGAAGCACTCATGCACCATCCATCCGCCCCCGCTAAACAAACAATTCATCCCTTTCTTTTCTTTTCATGGTTCTTTGGATATTCCCAACACACAAAAATAAAAAATATAGATCTTTTTGATTAGTTAATTTTTCACTTCTTCCTCAATTGTCTTCGTTTACGTGATTGACTATTCGGTTATGAGGAAGCACATGTCTCCTTCTTCACAAGTTCTGCAAGGGCATCGGCCAGCCCCCGTTCGTCCCCACACGTCTCTGCACACCGCTGGTATTGCTCAGCCACATCTACCCGGCACTGCCAACATAACGTCGGTGTGGTGCCCTTTTCGGCAGAGCGCAAAGCCCGCAGTAGTGCCGGCATGACTCGTTCAAAGACCTCCAAGACGCCGCCAGCAACAGGCGCAGTGGTGTCGTCCCCAGCCACCTGCTGGAGTCGTTTGCACCACGCCATGAAGCAGGCGTCCCCAGCTGTCGCAAGACGATAAAGCTCCGGTAGTAACCGCAATCCTGTCCAATCTGTTTTACCCATCTGACCCACTAGCACACGCGAGGCACACCGTACTGTCTCCGCCTGCACAATACTCTCATCACAGCACAGGGCCTCAGCAAGAAGAATATTCACCGCATCGTGAACGGACAGATGTTTCTCCTTCAAGAGAATGCCATGCTGTACCTCGTCCAGCCATGCCACGTTCACTTGACAACAAATTTGCATAGCCGTTCCCACAGCAGTAGACAAAACAAGGATAGAACATTCTGCTGCAGAAAGTCTTGAAATATCATTCTTTCGCAGGTGATTTGAAAAGAAAAACAACACCTGCTGCAATTTTTGTTTTTCTTCCACCAAATATGGAAGAGCCAAAAGATGGCTCATGCATAGAACCTCCAACATCACCGCAGCCGCCGATGATGAGCATTCAGGCGAACTGCAATTCCTTTCCTCAGCTGCATTTCCTTGCAGCTGCGCAACAAGGTGCCACGCCGAGTCCAACGCAATTTTATGGACAATACCTGGAGCGCCGATGTGTTTAGACGATAGTTTTGTCAAATGTCGCAGTGCGCTGCTGACACGCCGAGGGTTTCGGGCAACATCCTCCTCCTGCAGTTTCTCGGAAATAACCTTCAAAATAGTCGAAGCTGCCTCAGGGGAAAATTTGACATTATACACCATGGCAAAGACACAGCATGTGTAATAGAGGTCCGCCACCTTTTCCTCCGCCATCAGACGCAGTCCCGGTGTCAGTGAAAGCAAAGTCGTCTCATGAGCAGTGATGGAATCCGCCATCGCCTGAGCAGAGATGCATTGCCGGTGATACCGCCGCAGTTTACCCAAGTGCCCTTTGAGAAAAAGGACAACCATCAACCACTTCCTCTGCCTAAGTGGTGAACTGTCATCCATGATATCTTTGCTGTCCAGTACAAGCTTCTTCATCGCCATCTCAAAGTACGTGTCAAAGGCCGGTTGTGGCGGTTGGACAAAAAAGCCCAAAACCCGGACAACCGCGGCGACATCCTCCAGACTCTGAGACTCCAACATGGCAGAAACAGACTCGGGTCGCTCAACGAGTGTTGTCATGCGTTCCACAACGCTTGTCGCGAGCACCACAAGCGGATCGATAGACGCCTGTGTTGTGGGAGTGCACGCAGGACGCCAATCCCGCAACAGAGTTGTTTTGTACTCCGTCGTTGACAAGAAGGCACCAGGGCGAAGAAACCCGGAGGACTGGAGAGCCTGCAAGATGGACTGACACTGCTTAAGGCTACATGTCTTTATTTGCGCCGCAACACTACTAGCCAGCGTATTTAAAACGCGCCCATTCCATGCACCAAGACGTGCAAAGGCATTAAGTAATAAAGAAAGCTCCAGCGGCTCCATGGACCCAGACATGTCTCGCACCAACGGAACAACTTCATAGAGAAGCGCGTGATGTCTAACTCCCACCTTCTCAAAACTCTGTACGAGCATAACAATTTCCTGAGGTGGGATCAGCGTGCACGTTAAGCCATCAGCGGAATCAACATTTTGCTGTAGGGAAGAACAGGCAACATCTCCCAAAGCCAAAAATGCCTTTTTCGTTACGGTTAATAAATGATGGTGGTGTTGATGGTGAATAAATTCATCGGGCTCATCAGTTGTACCATCATCCAAAAAATCAGCTTCCCCTTCCCCGTTTTCGTCTTCTTTTGTTTCTTCCTCCGCCTCCTCTGTCATTCCCATCTCTTCCTTCACC